AATCAGTTTTAGCAGCACTAATTTTCCACAGAGCACCACTTTCTAGACGAGGCAGATTAACAAGTGCAAATCCAGTAAATCTATTCATAAAGTGGATCATCTCGAAGTAGAAGCAAATCCATGAGTGTAATGCTTGCTTTTGGTACCTCACTTATTTTCATTTCTCAGATTGTTTTAGTGAGAAACAATACCAACAGCAAACAAAGCTCAAAAGGAAACCCCCACAAATTTCAAAACGATGCTGTTAGTATAACAAAGAAAGGCTGACACATCTCAAGAAGCACCGATGAACACCATCATGCACCTGCCGCTGAGGGTTAAAGCCCAATGCCCAGTAGCTAACTATCTGATCTTCACGGATCAAGCAAGGACTTGGTATCATCTCACGTGCAACAGTCTTTGCATAACACTCCATTTTATCCATGCCACAAAGATGGTAAATTTAGTAGTTACCAATAAATAAGTTGGGGGTCAAAGGGACTAAAGTCTTAGACTGCTCTTTATCATAAGATATCCTCAGACAAACCTCCCCATTCTTCATTCTGGCTCTATAAAATTAAGGAGCAAAGAAAAACTGTTAAGTGCTTTACTTTACAAAGAAAAGGCACTCTATATTTCCTTTGTTATATGTATGTTAATAAAGTAAATCTAACTATACCACTCCCCCTTGCACCCTCCTCCCCTAAAAAGCCTAGCTTAAAATAGACTTTTTTTAAAGTCTATTAAAAGGGGGAGGGAGAAGGATGTTCCAAGTACAGCAAAAAATTTAAAAAAAAAAATAGAATGTCAATTTAGTACTCTCAGCACTTTAATGTTTTAAAAATCAAGTTAAGTACCAGTGGCACGTTAAGAAAACATGTTTTAAATTCCAACAGTCAAACATTAAAAAACTGGATAATGGACAAAATTTTCTGGGCTTTACCCCTAAATCTAATTATGTATTCACACAACTAAATTCCAAAAGGAATAAACAGAGTTCAGTCTAGAAATGGCAAAACTAAAACCCTTGTTTACTGAGTAAGTAAAATAAAAAAGGTATCTTTATTACTTAATCACAACGTCTGATATTTTAGCGATTATTTGAGTACACCTTTAAGTTCTCATTACTAACTATACTATGCTAATAGAAAATCTACTTTATCCACTACTGTCTGGCCTGTTTGCCTATAAAATGAAGGACTACCTAAAAAAATGGACTACCTAAACTATATGACATTTACACAAATTGGGTAAAAGAGAAACTTTAAAGAAATTGTTCCAAAGAAAATAAACATTTTTAAGGATAGAAATGTATATTTCACAAATTAAAAAGGACTAAAGTAAAAATCATTTACTGATTTGCATATATCTTTAAGCCAACAGATATTTTCATTATAAATTCAAAGCCATCTTTCGTGTTTATAAATAATTCAAGTAAAAAACCTGACACCAAATAGAAAAATCACAATGCAGTTGATCCTTGAACAACACAGTGTGTGTGTGGGGGGTGGGTATGAGGGCCACCAACACCATGAAGTCAAAAATCCAAGCATAACTTTTGAGTCCCCAAAAACATAAGCTGTCCCTCAGTATCCTTGAGGGCTAGGTTCCAAGATCCCTTGTGGATACCAAAATCCTGCAGATGCTCAAGTCCCCTATATAAAATGATGTCGGATCACTGCATACATTCGGCCCCCCACATCCATGGACTGACTCCTAGTGGAGAGTTGAAAATAGTACAGGTATTTATCGGGGAGAAAAAAATCCACATATAAGTGGAACTGCACAGTTCAAACCCGTGTTGTTCAGGGTTAGTTTTACATGATAAACTAGGTTAAAAATCAATTAATTAGGACTTTTACAAATTTAAGGCTGCATTTAGGTAAGTGTCTTTACAGCTATAGACTAAGTGAATACTATACCCCAAATTATAAGACCTAAAAAGCTTCTATAAATCTAGGTGTTTAGACAAATCCAACAAGAAATTATCTAAAATATATGATTTATATCTATATATCCAATTTAAAAATTCCAACTATTAATAATTTGGAAAATGAAAACGTCTAGTCCAAAAAGTAAAAGGTGGCATCGGAAATCTACTCTGTTCAATACAGAGAAACATCCAGGGAAAAGGTGATATCTAAAGCAGAATGTTTAAAACATATATACCATGACAATACATGAATGGGGGGTGGGAGAAATGCGAAGAACACAGTGGTTAAGATTTCATACAGCTCTGGAGTCTAAGTGGACCTGGATTTGGAATCCCGGGTTTGCCAACTGCTACCGAGGACCAGCTGCTGGACCCTCACTGAGCCTCTGCCTTACTTGTTACAAAGGCTCTCGTGACACTTTCTCAGGGCATCCCGAGGATTAGTATAGGATGCCTCATATCTAAGTGCTCAATAAGCGTTAGCTATCATCATACTTCTCTTTTGTTGTCATGGTGTCCATATAAAAACTTTTTTAGCAGTTTGTGAAATGCTTTTTCTTATATGAACAAAATATTTCAAATATTCTTCCAGAGATGTAAACATGTATCATGTATCAACATATAAATTAATCCATTTTAGGAAACAAGTGTCTTGTTACTTCTAGACTTCATGTGACAGTGTGTTAGTGAATAACCTGAATAACAGGTTGGCCTGTTAACCTGAAGCCTTACTGCCCACAGCCTTAACCTGCAATGTATTATAACTCAGTCTAAGTTCATAATGGACCAGCCGCCTTCTGCCTTCCCAAGCACTGAATGGCTAAATGAAGAAAAATGGTTCGCTCCATTTTGGTTCGACCACTGAATAGAAAATGTCTTAATGTACTATCACTTGTTTATGTACAAAATAATGTACAGGTAGTGACAGATGAGAAATAGGGCCAAAGCTCTCTTCTAAAGACAAGGAACTCTAATTAATAGTTCTTTTTTTAAAAAAACTAGGGTTAGAAGAGTAAGAAAAATTTAACTTGGACCATACACATCCTATGATGTTTCTTCATTCCTACTTTCCCCAATTAAAGATATAAAATACTACTTCAAAAAGGGAGACATTACTTACTATTATAATACTTCAATAGGGGAGACACACACACACTCTCTCTCACAAATAAATATGGACCTATAATAACTTTTTTATCAGCTAGTACACTGAATACAATACATGCTATTAAGTAAACTTAGCATATTTGTCATACTGTAAAGTCTAGCAATTTCCCAGTAGAGTTTAAAAAACAATCCAGACACAAGGAGCTATTAATACCCTAAACATAACTCTCCAGAAAAAAGCATTAAAATTGAAAGTTGAACTTCAATAACTTTAGAAATGTTTTAAGGCAAATACAATTAATCAGGAAATAAACTTGGAGGAAATACCGGAATCTGATAGAACAGACTATAGTTCCATAATAATGAAATATAAAAGTGATCAAGGGAAGGGACAAATATGGAAAATCCCCAATTCTTGATTCTGGTTTTGACCTAATTTTTAGAAAAGTCTGATTAGTGAACAGAAATAGGGAGCTACTAACTTTGAGAGACTTTGAGCTTGTAGCCAGCACACCTGATGTTAAAAAATTCTCCCCAATGACATGTTTGCAATCAATTAATAAACCACCATAGCAAACTGTACACACGGGGAAGAGAAGCTATGCTTATTTCACTACTGAATAGCAAATGGCGTCAGGGTAGCCAACAAAATGCTTCACTCTTGCAGGTACCTTAACCACTGCCTTGGTAACTCAAGATCACTAAATGCATAATGCATTGTCTCATATTTTATATATGTATGGCCTAGATGATGTCATCCCAACTTTGAGCAATTTCCACAACTGACCCAGTCAGTGAAGGATGCAGAGAGATTAAGGAGAGCTGCCCTGTTTCCTTATACAGGCTGATGGTTAAGAAGTTATAATGGAGAAAAAGAGATTTATTCTTCTTCCCTTAGTTCACATTTCTGTTATAACAGAAGTGCTAAAAAATTGGATTTAAACAAAACATATAAATAAACAAAACAAAAAGACCCACATATACAGAGAACAAGTCGAGGGTTGCCAAAGGGGGTGGGGGAGGATGCAGGGATGGGTGAAATAAAAATTTTTTTTAAATAAATTAAATTAAAAAAAAAAGGATTTAAAGCTTCCTCTAATTAAAAAAAAAAAAAAATCAATTACCTTAATGAAAACATACTACATTTGTTATATTGAGTAGTCCCTTCTTCTTATGCTATAAACTTTGTTTGATTAAAACTACAATTATCACTAAAGAATAGTTCTACCTGGTACTGAATTAAGGTATCATTAAGTTTTTAGGAAAAGGTAGCCTTATCTTTGAAATTTTAAACTTCAGAAATCAAAGGTACAGAAGCATCAAGTATACAATTAACCCAGAACAACTGCAGAAATTAGAAAGGGAAGGGAGTTTATTAATGGCTCTGGTGATATCATGGCAAGATAAGAATGTAATTGCTTGACAGAACACGGTTTGTTATCTAAGAGCAAAGAAAAGTACTTTTTAGTTAGTTTTCCTAACACAACACTAGAGGGTTCTACAAAAAGTCTAATTATAACACTATGATTTGCTTGGGACATTTGCACTTAATGGACATGAGGTGAAAATATAAAATTTGGAATGAAAATGCATTAATCTCAGTCAGCTCCTAATTATCTACATTAATGAAAAAAAGGGGTTATCTTAAGTAATTCAAAACAATGGATGGAGAATTTTCAAATTACTGTTAACTTTTGATGACTCTTTTCCCTTCTTAGTTTGTCTTGTAAAGGTTTAGACTCTAGTGTTTTGGGGTCCAAAATGGGACATTAATATGGCAGACCATTTTCAAAGTAAATGATCCATCCACAGATAATGGAGTTGACGTGACTGACACATATTCCAATCAATAAACTGCACATGGACACCGCATGCTGAGCATGCTTCAGAGTAAGTTCTGAAACTATAAGAATGAGGGAAGATGACCGACACTCCCTAACAAGAGCAAAACATGCTAGTATCTAGAAAACTCCAAGCTTACCTCCTGCAGCAGATCGGCCTGCTCGATTGCTTTAAGGACATTTTTCTTGGATGTTTCCTGAACTTCCCCTCCCAAAAGAAACTCATCCAAAATAAAATAAGCCTTCTCAAAATTAAAGATGATATCAAGCTCACACACCTGAAAAACAAACAAAAAATAATAATAAAAGCAAAACATACTTATCCACTATCAGCTAGTGATAAAATCTGACCAGAGTGAATCCATCTAAATTCTTTCTAAAATACATATCATTGATTTAGTCAGTTTAATTTTCAAATCTCAAGTACTTGAAAACACAATACCTACACTCCAAGTTAGACCCAACTCTGCAAGCTCTCAACATGGGCAACTATTCTACTCATAAAAACTGATATTTTAAAATGCCTATTTCCTGAGTAATGTGATTATAACTGCCAACGAACTCTAAATTCTTCACTAAGCACTTCTATATATAACTCCTTGCAGTTGGACTCCTTTCTACTTCACTATTTTAAACCTCACTCTCACCACCATAATTAAATGAGTAGGTCTGTGGGGTCAAAGCAGTCTTGGCCAATAACTGATTGACTAGGCACACTGACAAAAAATAGTCATTCTTTCCCTCTCCCATAGTTACTTTCAGACAGTCAGAATCCCCAAGACAATCAAATAATAAACTTGTTATAGAAAAGATTAAAAGAACAAAACTATGGCATTCAATTCCCTAAAACAAAATACTACTCACACTGCCAAAATACTTGTCAAGTAATTCCACGTAACGATGAATTATTTCCAGGGTAATTAGCTCATTGTCCTGGTCCTCAATAGCACAGCAAAAATACAGACTAGCATATCTGTAACAAAAACACAAATGTGAAAAAAATTTTACCCTATAATCACAGTTCCTAAATATATTTTCATATCCTATTGTGAAAGACCCCATGTTTATACGGTTTATTTCCTCTTTTATAACAGTACAGATTATTTTTCTCCTACATTACAAATGCAATAAATGCTTAAGAGAAATTTTGAAAAGTATAGGCAAGCAAAAAAGAAAAAAGTAATAATCATTCCATCATATAACCTAGAAAGAGTAACTATTTGGCTCTTCTTCCTTTCAGGCTCCTTTCTATGTATATTCTAAAACATAACTGACCCAAGTTGTTCTGAAGTTTACTTAATTAAAACAAAATACACTGCATGACTAATTCAAACTACATGTAAACAGGGAAAAAATAAACTCTCCAACTGAAGGACTTATTGATACTGAAGGTATTGTTGAAATGAAGTCAACATTCTAGAATGTTTTATTAAAGTGTAACATACACACAGAGAAGAACACAAATCATAAGTGAGTTTTCAAAGTGAACCTGCCCATGTGCCAGCACCCAGATCAAGAAACATTACTGAACCCTCCAACCCCCCTTTCCTTGCCTCTCCAGGTCACAACCTCCCACCTCACAGGTAATTACTATCTTGACTTCTAACAGCATAAAATTATTTTTAAAAAGGAAGTTTGTAGGATTGTGCAATAAACCCCAAGAAAAGAACAACAGTTCCAAGTTATTACAGAAGTTAGAGAAAGAGAGCAGAGGAAACTGGGGCCTCTCCTCAAATTTTCATATTTCTACCCTGTTGAACTGAAGTTTAGTTATTCACCCTTGAAGAAGACTAACGTTGGAAAACTCATATTCTCCTCCAACCAAATTAGCAGTTTAACACATGGTTATACTTAACCCAAGAAAGCCCAAACTCATTAACATACAACCCCTTCGAGGCATAGCAAATGATGACCAAGTCCTTTGAGGAGGGTTAAAAGAGCATTTCCAAATGGTTTGAGTATATTTAAGGGTTTTTAAAAAAATAAATAGTAAAAACCTAAGACATTCTAAACAAATTTCAGTTGAGACTGAGGAGCATTCAAGTGGTTTTTAGACAACACAATGGGCAATTAATGCTCAAATCATTAATGTAAAATAATATATAAATGAGCACATCTCAATTCAATAAATTCCTGCTCTTCAGTATGAGAATAACTATTTACATAACAATCTACTAATTTCAATATTATCAAAACCATTTCATCTTATCTGATTTTTCCAACAGCAAATATCCTCCTGCTTGATTACAGGAAAAAAAAA